CACACACACACACACACACTCTAACAAATGCACACACACACACACTCTAACAAATGCACACACACACACACACACACACACACACACTCTCACAAATGCACACACACACACACACACACACACACTCTCACAAATGCACACACACACACACACACTCTAACAAATGCACACACACACACACTCTAACAAATGCACACACACACACACACACACACACTCTAACAAATGCACACACACACACACACACACACAAAAAACAAAAACGTTTTTTTAACAGGTGGTGAAGATGAAGAAGAAGAAATGTTCCATGTTTAGTTCAATGTACAGTGAAAATAATTGTTCAGCTGTTATATTGACAGCTGTCATTAAAAGAAACACATCACACCTTTAAGTGTTTGTGTCGGTATCCGTCCTCTGAACCTCTGACCTCTGACCTCTGACATGAGATCAGCTGACAGCAGCTGAATCTTGTTTCATATAAAGTCTTGGCATGTTGTTGGTGTGATGACATCACTGGAGCTTCCTCATACCTGTTGACCTGTCACACCTGTCAGGTGGAGACAATCATACCTGAGACACAGAAAGCTGACAGACAGGCTCGACCAATCAGCTGACAGCTATAAATAATCTCAGAGTGTTCGGACCAGTTTGACCAGTACGGGAGGGACTGATCAGGATCTATGACACTGGTTATTATTCATCGATCGATCACTGATCAATAGCTCCGCTGGTTATTGTAGATGTGATTGGCTGGTCAGTGTCAGCTGGAGGACAAACAGGAAGTTGTTTACAGTTGTGTGTTCTGTGTCTCTGCAGGAAATGTTGTTCTGGAGAACCTGAGAGTGAAGGAGAACGCTCTGGTAAGTCTGAGGCCCCGCCCCCTCCCTCTGATGTCATCCCACAGAGTGTTTCTGATAGGTCAGAATCAGAACATGTCAGAGTCCAGAGAGACGTCTTTAACGTCTGTTTTGTGTAGTTCAGTTTACGCTCTGTTGCCATGGCGTTAGGTTTGGTCCCTCATCACTTCCTGTCAGCTGAGAATCATTCCAAGAGGAAGTACAGAAGGACCAATGAGAATGGTTCTGTTAACGACAGGATGTTTAGATCAATAAGACTCTGATCAGTAATCAATAATCTGTGTTTGTGTTTCAGAGTGAGTTTGATGTTCCGTTCAAAGTGAAGGCCGGACAGATCGGTGAGTTCTGTCAGTGTGATGTCAGAACACAGAATGATGATGTAACAGCTGCTGTCTGTGGACTTCCTGTTTGTGTCTGTAGGACAAATATCTAACCTGATGATGTAACGGCTGCTGTCTGTGGACTTCCTGTTTGTGTTTTTAGGAAAGCTGACGTTGAAGATTCCGTGGAAGAATCTCTATAACGATGCGGTCGTCGCCACGTTGGACGGTCTGTACCTACTGGTCGTCCCTGGAGCCAGTGAGTGATGTTTGATCCTTCCTGTTTGTCCCTGGTGTCCTCAGAGACAGTCTGTCCTGTCACCAGAGCTCCATCACCAGATCAGCCAATCACAGCTCAGACAGGAGAGTGGACACATGTCCGCCACACGTGGACACAACTGTCCATCTACTCATTGTCCACCGTTAATTCTGGTCTAGGGACAGCAGACATCCTCCTAAGGTTTCTCAGGTCTGGTCGGTTCTATGGTTCTCCTCTGGGTTCTAGATGTTCCTTTGAAGAACCTTTTGGAGGCCAACTGAACATCCTCCGCCTTTATCAGCCTCAGCAGCTGTCCATCCTCTGTCTCTGTCCATCCTCTGTCTCTGTTCTTCCTCTGTCTATCCTCTGTCTCTGTCCATCCTCTGTCTATGTCCGTCCTCTGTCTCTGTTCTTCCTCTGTCTCTGTTCTTCCTCTGTCTATGTTCTTCCTCTGTCTATCCTCTGTCTCTGTCCATCCTCTGTCTATGTCCGTCCTCTGTCTCTGTTCTTCCTCTGTCTATGTTCTTCCTCTGTCTATCCTCTGTCTCTGTCCATCCTCTGTCTATGTCCGTCCTCTGTCTCTGTTCTTCCTCTGTCTATGTTCTTCCTCTGTCTATGTTCTTCCTCTGTCTATGTTCTTCCTCTGTCTCTGTTCTTCCTCTGTCTATGTCCGTCCTCTGTCTCTGTTCTTCCTCTGTCTCTGTTCTTCCTCTGTCTATGTTCTTCCTCTGTCTATCCTCTGTCTCTGTCCATCCTCTGTCTCTGTCCGTCCTCTGTCTCTGTTTTTCCTCTGTCTATGTCCGTGCTCTGTCTCTGTCCATCCTCTGTCTCTGTTCTTCCTCTGTCTGTGTTCTTCCTCTGTCTCTGTTCTTCCTGTCTATGTCCGTCCTCTGTCTCTGTTCTTCCTCTGTCTCTGTCCGTCCTCTGTCTCTGTCCGTCCTCTGTCTATGTTCTTCCTCTGTCTCTGTTCTTCCTCTGTTTATGTCCGTCCACTGTCTATGTCCGTCCACTGTCTCTGTTCTTCCTCTGTCTCTGTCCGTCCTCTGTCTATGTTCTTCCTCTGTCCCTGTCCATCCTCTGTCTCTGTCCATCCTCTGTCTCTGTTCTTCCTCTGTCTATGTCCGTCCTCTGTCTCTGTTCGTCCTCTGTCTATGTCCGTCCTCTGTCTCTGTTCTTCCTCTGTCTATGTCCATCCTCTGTCTTTGTTTGTCCTCTGTCTATGTCCGTCCTCTGTCTCTGTTCGTCCTCTGTCTCTGTTCGTCCTCTGTCTCTGTTCTTCCTCTGTCTATGTCCGTCCTCTGTCTCTGTCCTTCCTCTGTCTATGTCCGTCCTCTGTCTGTGTTTGTCCTCTGACTCTGTTCGTCCTCTGTCTCTGACCGTCCTCTGTCTATGTCCGTCCTCTGTCTGTGTTTGTCCTCTGACTCTGTTCGTCCTCTGTCTCTGACCGTCCTCTGTCTCTGTTCGTCCTCTGTCTGTGTTCTTCCTCTGTCTATGTTCTTCCTCTGTCTATGTCCATCCTCTGTCTCTGTTCTTCCTTTGTCTATGTCCGTCCTCTGTCTGTGTTTGTCCTCTGTCTGTGTTTGTCCTCTGACTCTGTTCGTCCTCTGTCTGTGTTTGTCCTCTGTCTGTGTTTGTCCTCTGACTCTGTTCATCCTCTGTCTCTGACCGTCCTCTGTCTATGTCCGTCCTCTGTCTGTGTTTGTCCTCTGACTCTGTTCGTCCTCTGTCTCTGACCGTCCTGTCTCTGTTCGTCCTCTGTCTGTGTTCTTCCTCTGTCTCTGTCCGTCCTCTGTCTCTGTTCTTCCTCTGTCTATGTCCGTCCTCTGTCTGTTTTCTTCCTCTGTCTATGTTCTTCCTCTGTCTATGTCCATCCTCTGTCTCTGTTCTTCCTTTGTCTATGTCCGTCCTCTGTCTGTGTTTGTCCTCTGACTCTGTCCGTCCTCTGTCTCTGTTCGTCCTCTGTCTCTGTCTGTCACTACTGCTGAGGAGACATGACGGACACCGTCTGTCCTCTTACTGTAACTGTTTGGACATGGTCCACTCAGACGCTGTGTCCCCAGACATCCCAGAGATGGGACATAAAGACCTTTTGGACAGAGTGACCTCACACCTGTCCGACTCCTTTCACCCAGAACACCTGCAGGGAAAGAGGGCGGAGCCTCTGTCAGAGCTGCTCCACCCACGGCCCCATCAGTCCCTTTATATACTGCACAACAACAACAACAACAACAACAATAGCTGTTTGTTTCTCCCGTTGTACTGTGGAAGCGAGCTAAAGACGACCGAGGCCACTCTATTGTCTGACGGTACGACAGCAGGTTGTTCTCTGAGCGCCGCTCTCTAACACTGTTACCATGGCAACGGTGATGTCATCCATGTTGGTGGTGCACGGTGTGAACAGGACGTGGCTCTGACGCCCAGAAGTTCAGAGCACTTTGTTTGCTGATCAGTTTCACTGAAGTGAATACTGACTCTGACTCCTCCCCCTCCCACACCAGCTCCACCTCCTCTGTCACCAGGTGATGTTACCTGACCTCCACACCCACTCTCACACCTGGTGAACACATGAGCTGTGAGGAGGTCTGCAGATGGAGGTCCAGCCGCCAGGCGCTGAGTCAGCTCCCTTATCTTCTTTTGAGGCTGCTTGTGTGAGCGCCGCTGCTCAGTCTCGCCTGTTGTTCCTCCGTGATGCGTTTCAACAGAGACAGACAGTAAAGATGGTGTTTCTATGATCATGATGACATCACACTGCCTTTAACCACAGTTCAGATTTAAACAATACAAATATTTATTTTTAACTCAACACTTTCTGTTTGTGTTTCAAAATAAAAGCCTTCTGACAGCATCTCTGTGGACAGAAGAACTTTGTTTGTTATCACAAGGCTTTTATTCTGAAACACTCACAGTACTGTGACGATGACGTTAAGGTGTCAGTGGGCGGAGTCAGTGGGCGGAGTCATAAGTGTTACAGCAGTGAAGCTGCTCTAATGTTTACTGTGATGTAAACACTGACAGAGTATATTTACTCATCTACTAGGGCATTAACAGAAAAGCTGATTTGTCGACGTCAGTGGCACAAGTCGACACCCCCCAGGAGGAGTCGACAAGTCGTGTGTATTTTCCCTCTCTCTCTCTCTCTCTCTCTCTCTCTCTCTCTCTCTCTCTCTCTCTGTGTGCTTGTGTACGGAATGCAATCGCTACCTCTGATTGGCTTACACTAATACTTAAGCGGAGCAGACTCCGCGAGGAATGTCTGCACTCATTTGGGCTTTCATAGTTGAGCGCACTTCTGCGTTGTAGTTTCCTGTAAAAATGTCCGTGAAAAATCCCTGCGATGTGAAAAATACATGCCGAGCAGTCACTGGTGCGCGGAGCGGAGTCTGCCCGGTTGTAAAATCTGAGCTTTGCGTGCACAGGGCTTGCGGACGTCTGCCTTGAGTCCGCGCAGACCTCTGCATAGTTAGCGTTCCACGTATGTTCCGCCCGAGTATGTTTGGGCTTGACAGACACACATCACATGTGTGGAGATACTTCACTTTCCTCCGCTGTGTCAGTGAGATGATGTCATCAAATGACTTGTCGACTCAACTTCGACTTTATTGACAGATAAGTCGACCTGAAAAAAATCAAAGTCGTTAATGCCCTATCATCTACGTTCAAGACCTGTAACTATAACTAACTGTAACTGTAACTGTAACTAGTCAAGTCAAGTCAAAGTTTATTTATAAAGCACGTTTAAAAAAACAACCTCAGTTGACCAAAGTGCTGTACAGTTACTAAGATACAATATAAATAATCAAGCACAAATATAGTAATAAATAAAACAGTAATAAGAAATCAATTTAGAACAAAGTTAGAATAAAATAGAAAGTAAGAAAGAAAGAGCCGAGAATACTCGCCTAGCATGGATTGAACGGTACTTCCAGGAGCAGCTGGTTTGACGAACTAAGTGCCCTGGTAGTACTGTGAGGCTGAACAAGCTCTGATAAATAAAATGGTACCAAACCATTTAAACATTTAAAAACAATTAAAGGAGCTATATGTAAGAAATCTAAAGCAAATAGTCGTAAAATCCTCCTAATATGTCACAGAGACTAAGGAATAATGTTCATATAACATACTGATCTCACCGACAACAATAGTACGGCCAGAATATTCGCATTTAAAAAAAATATTTTACGGTCCGCAAATCATATTTATGTTTTGAATTTGTGTTTTGGCCTGTTGCGCCACCCTCCACCGTCTACCAGTCACGCAGTCAGTAGAGTCTCAGCATCAGTTACAGTTACGACTTAGCTACAGCAGCACGGCAAGCAGCATTAGCAGTGTCCCAGCATGTGCAGCCAGCTTCTCCTCAGCTGTATCCCGGCAGCAGCGTTAGCAGCAAGCCGGACTTGCTCGAACGGTCCGCTGGAAAATCCCAAAGGTAGGATGTATATTAAAAAAAGGAGAGGGCCCAAAATGGAACCCTGAGGCACCCCACAGCTCAGGGGGGAAGTGGCCGAAGAATACTGGCCCAGCTGGACAGAAAAGCTTCTATCTGAGAGGTAGGATTGAACTTCAGAGCAGTACCCCTAATGCTCACACAAGTATTTAAGCGTGACAGGAGAATATTGTGATCGACTGTATCAAAAGCAGCTGTCAGATCCAGAAGGACCAGAACAGCAGAGTTACTAGTGTCAACTGTTAAAAGAAAGTCATTTAAAATTCTTAAAAGCGCCGTTTCTGTGCTATGGCGTAGCTTAAAACCAGACTGAAACTTCTCAGAAATGCCATTTAGATCAGTAAACTAACTGTATCCAGTAACTGTAATTGTACCTTTACAGAGAATCTCTCCTTTCTTTAAAGGGACAGTGTGAAACATTTTCAGTTGTTTATTGGCAAAAATCGATGTCTGCATTCATAAACATGTCATCATTGGTGTATCATTACCTCCACCAATAATCTGACTTATTCTCCTAAAAGGGGAATTTCAGATTTGTTCATACATTGTATGGGTAAGTCGTCTGGGAGGTTCCTTAACGTTTCACCATCTTGAGAATACATCCGCCAGCAAGGGACATATAGCACTATCAGAGAAAAGCCCCGCCTTCGGCGTTTTTGTTGAGGGCCAGCGCTGCGTGACTGAGAAGCCGAAGGAGAGGAGCAAGAGGAGCAAGAGGTGCTTCGCTACTACCCCGGCACTACTGCAGCATAACACAGTTCCACTCTTTGAGCATAATGCAGGATCATGCACATGCAGCATCACGGGAGACGGAATCCTCGTCGCCAAGAAAGCGCAAAAGGGAATCAAAAAGGCAATGTGACCGGTGAATTCAAAAAACGAGGGTCAACATCGGGGTAGCCTTTCCCAGGTGGAGAGAGCTGCTGAAGGAGAAAGGTAATGCGGCGCAGTGATGCGAGGAGAGGGATGAGGTGTGTGAGGTTGAGCCACTTGTCAGTTGTCAAAAGACAAGATGTGATTGGTTTGTTTGGATTTACATCCGCCCCAACAGTCCTATGCTGTAAACACACCCAGCATGGTGAGGAGGGGGTTTGTCAACTGGTGTGGCGTGTGTCTGTGTAGCAACCCTGAATGAATTCACCCTTTGCACATATGTCACATGATCACGTGACAGTGCCATGACGGACGGCGGAAGTAATGATGGACGTAAACAGACCGTAACAGATGAGTGGGAAAATTCAGAAGAGAGAAGTGATTTCGATTGAAATTAGCATTTTTTTTGTAACATTTAACACCGTTTTGACCTTATAAATGGCTACTACAAGTCAAAAAGATGTTGTGCAGTTGTCGGTTGAGGTGGGTCACCTTGTAGGTACTGACAAAGAGCAGTATTTGGAGAAACTAGCGTTAGCAGAGTTACATACCGACCCGTACCTTCTTCCTCCCCAATGTATTCACGGATCTAACCAAGTTGTCTAGTCTGCCCGACTTCAGTCCACATGATCTGTACCACTATGTTGTAAACAGAGTATCCCTATACACAGGTGCAGATCTAAAAGCTTACAAAAGTCTGGATGCTCACCAGTTTTTTTGTTGCTGGTTGGGTTACCGGTATGCGGTGCTATGCTCACAGTGGGGGGAAGTACCTCACAATGGCAAAGGTAAACTTTCATCGGTCATCATGTTATCTACATTTCATAACACGTATATTTTTAAAGGCCTGTGAACGTGTACATGCGTCCTAGACTTGCATGAACGTCTTGAAAAGGAACCCCCTTTTTCTGGTTGGGCCTACAGGTCTAAAGAGATTCACGACTCGCTGCAAATCTGGGAGTATTTTGAGGGCTGCCAGTCCTTTCGATTGATTGCAGCTACCCATCTTCTCTGGGCATCAAGAGGTATATGATAAAAAGCTAAATTAGCTTTATAACCTTTCCTGTTTGCACAGCCCACCGCACAGCACAAAATCACCATATTTACCATCACGAGAGAAGGAAAAATAACGAACTACGATGTCTAGTTTGAGATTTGCCGGCTTGCCGTCCAGTTTTTGCTCTGTACTTCTGCAGTCCATCATGGCGCTCGTCATTGACGCACGCAGAGCGTGACGTCAGACACAAAGGGTGAATACTCCATGAAGTATCAGATGACATGGTTTCATCAATGTTATCATAGCTTTTTGGTACACAGCGGCTGCCGTAGTTGCAATACATGTTTGAAACAGTGAGGCGCTAGAGTGCGCTATCTGTTTGAATGCAATATATGATTTCAACGTTAGATGGGAGAAATTCCTACACAGTGTGGCTTTAAGGTCTTTTTAAAGAGGAAACTTTGACACAAACTTCCATTTAAAGACAAAGTTTCAGTAATAAAACGTTTGTCTAACAGTAACTTCCTGTTTCCTGTCGCATCAGTTGTAACCATGGTTACAGCAGCAACACTGTGTCAACACTGCACACGTGACATGCAGCAGGTCAGTGACAATCACTGTCACAGAGGTCACAGACTGCTCATGTTGCCATGGTGACTCCTCTGATGACAGCGACCATGTTAACTCTCCTCAGGCTCTCACAGTTATTAAAATAACACTGAGTTAGTTATCAGCGATGTCAACACCTGGTGGATGCAGCCGATTGGCTGATCTTGTGTGGAGGCGGAGCCTGTAGATCACTCTCTGTATTGATGTTCTGATGTGTGTGTGCTCTCAGTGTGTGTGTGCCCTACTGTAAGTCAGTCTGTGTGTGTGTGTGTGTGTGTGTGTGTGTGTGTGTTCTCAGACACGTGTGTGTTCTCAGTGTGTGTGTGTGTTCTCAGACAGTGTGTGTGTGTGTTTTCTTAGTGTGTGTGTGTTCTCAGACAATGTGTGTGTGTTCCAGCTGGATCTCATCTGAAATCGTGTCCATATAACGGTAAGATGACCACGTCCACAGGTGGTGGTTCATCTTCAGCTGCGTCTGTGTGTCTCTGTGTGTGTCTGTGTCTCTGTGTGTCTGTGTGTCTCTGTGTGTGTCTCTGTGTGTGTTTGTGTCTCTGTGTGTCTCTGTGTGTGTCTGTGTGTCTCTGTGTGTGTTTCTGTGTGTCTCTGTGTGTCTCTGTGTGTGTCTCTGTGTGTCTCTGTGTGTGTCTCTGTGTGTGTCTCTGTGTGTCTCTGTGTGT